CCCGTGCCCGCCCCAGGCGTATCCCGCGCCCACCCCACATTAAGTTATGAAGCGACAACACAGAGCAAGCGAAAAAGCGATGAGGTCGACACATGGCTTCCTCTACTGCTACATATGTGAAGTAAGCATGTGTGACATTTGCTCGGCTGTGCGGCACTCCCGACCCGCGCCGACTGCACATGGGCCAAAACTTACAACAGATAGACATATACAAGTGAAAATACAGCTATTACTAAATACAAATAATACTACTAATAAAAAAAAATAATGTGACATTATATATACTTGATACAGAACGAGGAAGAAGAATAGAGCGGGGAGCGGGAGATGGAGCGGCAGGTGAAGTGGGAGGTGGGAGGTGGGAGATGAGAGGCGACATGCCGTATGTCTGTATGTATGTGACTGTTACCGTCGCGCAGGTCGCCCGCCTCGACCTCTGCCAGGCCGTCGCCGAGCGCGTCCAGGCCGTCGTTCTCTGAGCGGCTGTGGTCGGAGCGGGCGGGGTCGCGCGCGCGCCACCCGCCGCGCACGAAGCCCGCTATGTTGGCGCTCGGGTCGCTCAGCCGCCTCTATAATGTTATTATTACCACATTATTTGCAACATGCACGTTGCCGTACGCCACTGACTTAGTAGGGCGGAGTCGTCACCTGGTGCCGGAAGAGGAACAGCTCCTCCGGGTCGTCCATGTCGTCGGGCCAGGGCGCCGCGAGGCCGGGCGCCGAGCCGGGCGCCGAGGAGGGCGCGGCGCCGCGCGGCCGCGACACCGCCACCTCGGCGTGCCCTTTTCCGCCCGGGCCCTTCATGCGCACGAACTCGCAGCGCGCCGCCCCGCCCCCGAGCCCGCCCCCCGCGCCGCCCAGCAGACCGAACGACATCCGCTGCGCCATCTTCGTCGACAGCGACGATTGCTGTGGAATCAAAGAATTTCTGTTCAAGTGACGCCCACATTGATCGTTAGTAACGGACGACATGCGCTAGTCTTGTAAGTCGACAAGGAGTGTTACTTTTTCTCTCTACGGTACCTATATCCATAGCAAGAGATTCGATAAGAGAAATAAGCGGGTTCTGTAACGCTATGAAACACCGCAGTTTTCTATAGCAGTTCGCGTGCAGTTTCCCCGCCGCACGTGTTCTGTGCCCGAGGCGCCATGGTAGGGCGGGGCGGGTGCAAGCGATGTGGGTCACGTCGCGACTCGGCGGGGACGTGTCAGCTGAGGCCACTTGTTGCTGCGCACTCCGCCGCACGCCACCTTGCTCCTCACACCCCTCCTCTCAGCCTCGCAGCATTGAGTTAGCTTCCCCCCCCCCTCTTCTCTAATGCTATCCGCAGTTACTGCGTCCATTTACATTACAACATCTATGTAAAGCGACAACGCTTTCCGTAATTTTATTCGTTTACAGTAAAAATGCTAATCAAAGCGGCGTGAATTGTAAAATATTTTATTTGTAACAATTGTGTGGAATCTGATCGTAAATATTTCAACGCAGAATACATTTGTTTTATCTATTTATCGAAATCAGAAAAAGTAAGATAAAGCGATAGATAGATAGATAAGTGTAAGGAGCGCGAGGACACCATCTGAATAACACAAGCAAAGTATCGCAATTTGTATTGACATTCACATTGTTCTATTTGTGTACGGTTCGGACACATATTGATGAGAAGGCAGCTGATGCATGCCGACTTATTATTATCTGCATATAATATAACCTTGACACCTTTGACCAGAAAGTATACTTTGACACTATAGAGAGTTGTGCACATGGGGGATGCTGGGTGAAGGCAGCACAGGCCCCACCTTGGCAATTGGAGTGGCAGGGATGGAAATACTTGTATGGCGGAGTCTCTCTCCCTGCTCCAGATTCATTGCCTCGTGTTGCGTTACACAAAGACTGCTGCACTGTGACAGCACTGACAGCACAGTATATAAATTCAGATGTTAAAACATCTACATACTCTGCAACACATCTTGTTAACTGATGCACATTACATTATACAGCTTTATCCTGTTCCGAATTTAACCTAATTAATTTGTGTCTCATATCATCGCGTCAGGCATCAGTGTGTTTTGATTAAAAGCGGAAAAAACGACATTTAAATTAAATTAATTCAAATGAATCATTTAAAAATAACTTCCTTTCAAGGTTTCATAAGTCACGAAGCGAGTTTATACATCTAGAACATTCGCACTAGAAATACGTATAAAGTGAATAACAAACTAGTTGTAGTAAATGTGTATTTATATGCAGGCATAGCAAGTACATAAACAGACATGTACAGCGGCGCGGCGCGGCGCGGCGCGTCACGCCCTCCAGCCTCCAGCCGCCAGCCGCCAGCCGCCAGCCTCCAGCCTTGCAGCAACAATAACATTTACATCGGTAACCACTGGCCTTATTCATTTATAGCTTCCAGATTATTTACATACAAGCAGGGACAAGAGAAGTTGACGTGAACCACTATTGTAACAACTCATTTCCTTATTCATTGTAAAGCGATGGGAAAATCCTTCACTTGTATTATTGACGGCTGGTCAAGCACAAACTTTTAACAGATATTGTCACAGACATATTTCTAACTAAAAGTTTTGTTGCAACACTGAGACACGCCGCCCCATACACAGCAGCTGAAGCAGATATTTATTATATTTGTATTATCAGAATAATATTAACGAAACAAATAAAATAATAAGTTTCAAAATAGTTTAGGTGGAACGAGTTTTTAATGTTTGCGTCGAGCGATCTGCGCCGCGTCATTCCATGTACGCGAGCACGGCTGGTTGCCTCGCGTCGGCCCCACCTCGCGGCCACGACCTTACCTTCTCGAATCAACTTACACACTTCTAATCTCTTTAACTTAATATAATTTAAGTGTTTTGAATATATGATTTTTTTGAGAAGGTTTAGAGATGTTTCGAGATTTCCCTGGTCATTGTGTTGTCGTATCTGCGAATTTCCCGTTCCTGTGGCAAGTGGAGCAGATGTACTCTAGCAACTATTATATTTCGAGCATCGGTCATTTTATAATAAATATATCGGTATGTTTACCTCGTTGACAGTGTTCCGGCCTGTATCTATTGTCATCAATAATCACAATGTATGTATGTATGTATGTACGTTGAGTACAGAAAATGTAAACCACATACCGGCCCGCCCACTTTGCCACTCGATATTACGTAAAAAGAGCATTATGCTCTTTATTGTAATGAAATGATCAAGTATTCTCAAGTAAATTAAATAAATAAATGTCCAAAACATGTTAACTTTGGAATGTCGTCTCGTCTAATCAGTGTGTAGGTAATGTGCGAGTGCGTGCGTGCGCACTGAGCGGGCTCGCTCCTCCGTGTGCGTGCGGTGTCGGTGCGCACGCACTCGCATCAGTACGGTGCGGTGCGGTGCGCTGAGGAAAACCTTCTAACTTCGGTTATGGGTATTAGCGGACCGCACTATTTTAATCGGAAACTGGTTTCGTTTCCGTGCCACGACTATATCGTGAAAACATTGCGCAATTCCGATATCATACCTGTTTGCATTGCGTATTATCGTATTAATTCTAAATTACCAATAATTTGCACAACACTAGCAAAGTTAGCATCGCTCGGCGACCGCGGCAGGCTTCAATGCACGGACAAAGTCACGGGCGAGGCGCACTGCCGGACGACACGGGCCGGTTGTTGCATCGGCCGGCAATAATAATAACGTGTGCTAATTACCCACTGGCTGCGCTGCGCTACGTGCGCTGGAGCGGCAGGTGCGGCGTCCGCGAGGACGTTGCTTTGCGCTTACATCAGCGGAAGTGCGACCAGAATTGCCTTATAAGAGGCGCTATTTATTGATCCTGATTTGAGTAGCAGACGAAAACAAGATATGGCTGTAGATAGGGATAGATCTACATGTATGTACATAGATAAACATCACAACCGAAGTCACTGCACTGTCGCGACCTCACCAAGTAAAAATAAATACAAGTGGGCATCACCCTCATAAATAAACAACACATTGCGCGACATCATTTTCATCTTAAACAGTATTCTGTTGTATTGGTTACAAGATTGAGAAAATGTCTCGCTTCAACTGCTTCAAACAAATACAAGGTCAGCTCAACAATGGACATTCATTTACGTTGCATTTCAAAGATATCTTTCTGAGCTGCGGCGTTACTTTATTCACTTTTTAATATTATTCATTTACTTTTAGTTTTATTATAACTAAAACCTTAATAAAATATGTACCTATATGTAAATATTTAATGTCGTTGTTTATATCACAAATAGAGATCAGCGTAGTTCGGGTGATGCAGCGTGAGGCACACAGCGGCAGAGCAGGTCACTTTGTGCCACAGTGTAACAAATTAACTGTAAGTGAATTTCGACGAAACTGGCTATCGTAACTAATCTTAATAAATACTAAAAATATACACAACTATTTGAAATCTTTGAAATTTAGAAATATTATAAATCGGCTGTCAAATATAACTACGGTATTGGATCGCGTAGAATGTAGGGGATAGTGACACTGACCCTGGCGTCGTAGACCCCGGTGAGCGCGTCGTACCGGATGGAGCCGAGGAAGATGACGGCGCAGGCGGCGGCGCCCCGCCCGCGCGCCACCAGCTCCACGCACACCATCTCCCCGTCGCGCACCACCATGTCGCAGAACACCTGCACACATATACCATCAACACATTTAACTTTACGCACAACAAGCGATCATATCCCTTAACAGATTACGAGTCTGTCCGTCTTCTCAAAAGTAACGTACAATCATTGAAACAAACAAAATGAAAACATAATTGCACACCTTGGGGATTTTCCTTATTGTAAAGTGCGCGATGAGCCGAGACGATACGACAGGCAAAGGAAAAATAGGCGCTAGCGGCTTACTGCACGTCGTAAGTAAACAAGCATGAGTCACTCAATGACACGATGACGATCCGCTATTATATTTATCTCCTCTTATTTACTTAAATTCGAATGAACATCCATGTATTCTTCTATCAATTGTTCATTTTATCCTGAGAAGTGAGGTGCACCTACTAAATCACCGATACGTAAAATATTTTATACTCTGGGACAAACTTTAACAAATGCGAGTGCCATACATTATATAAACGATGTGTTATAGAATAGATAAGGCGGTGAAAAGATGGGTCGACTGTCGGGACTCAGACGATAATAGACTGTTTTCAGACACCTCATAACACTCAACTATTCTTACTAAACGTGTAACAAACTCAACATTCGTATTCATGAAAAATATAATCGTAGAAATGGGCATGATGACTCTTCTTCGCAGAACTATCTACACGATGTTGGCACGCGGCGTGATAAGCCGACACGTCACCGACAAATATAATGGAACCCACCACCCGCCGTCACCAGTTACGTCACCGTGACTCACCAGCGAACACGTTGACCGATGACTTTGATCAAAATAGAAACCATAAAACTACACTTTTTTCGCGCCTTGCCCCTTCCAACGTACACAAAGTTAGCTCTAACTAGAGCCTACCATTGTTGTGTACAAGTGGCATTGTCAGCTTTGTGTCCTCCAGGCGGCTACCGACTCCCGCTACTCACCACAGTATCGCACTCGCACGGTCACCTCTACACTTATAAACATATGTACAAAACTACACAAAAACAACATTTTACCTATTAATATTTGTTTATTGCGCAGCCTCTGCTACCTTGCACATAAATTTAACTAAAATGTAACAACACGCTGTCAATTTTGTTACTAGTAGGACACGAGAATATTTAACATGATATCTACGTTAATGTTAGCTGTATTTAAATTGTCTCATTACGATTCTATAAATTTTACTGACCGATCTCATATTATAAAAGGCGATAACACTAATTAATACATATTCAATTATTATTTTATTCATAATTAACTTGCATGAAACATTATCATATTATTTTAATATACCGAATGCTATTTAAAATACAAGAATGCGTCATTCACCGATGTATTTAGACATTTTCTCGACATTACGTTTTACAGCAGCAACCACTTGCCCGTGAAATACTGATCTTACGTTTATCATAAAACTTTCACTACATTTTCATGAGTCATTATACTCTCTATTTAAAGTATCGTTAATGGAGGTCTTCTTTTATATTCCCTTAGCTCTTGTTGATCGCACAACGTGAGATCCACTCAACTTCAACCATTCCACATTTATACTTTTGTCATATTTTCGTGTTATGTCTCAAACTAGATACGACCACACACATATCCCTTGTGTGGTGCACAGGCAAACAGACAGGCAGGCAGACAGTGTGATTGTATGATTGCTTTGGATAGAGTTGTGAGGCGATGGTGACCTTGGTATCGTGATGAGAAATCTTTGTTTGCATCTGTCACCTTACGATCAATGGATTCTCAAATGATCCGCACACAACAGCATACATATTTACTTCAACAAAATCAATGGTTATCAACAAAACGTTACTAAGGTTCAGTGCCATATCAACAACTTCTCGATACTGTGATAACGAATGGTATTTATAAATACAATCTATTTTGCAAAATTCCTGTTGAATGAGTCGATGATCAGTCGATCGGAAGATGTGTCGTGTGTTGTGGCTAGGTCTGCAGTGAGGAGGGCTACCTGCAGGCGGGAGAGGTGTCGCCCTCCGCCGTCACAGGCTAACATCATAGACGATAACAAGCATTTATTTGTACCTACACCGTTATAAAAATAATCAGCCGCAATCTTATCATATGTTCTTAACATAGGCGAATTTCACGATATACCTCCGCACCAATAAAATTAACTAACATTCAAAATAATTATCAGATTTTGTTAAAACTAGTGTAAGTCTACTAGCGGCTTCCACTCCGCCCGGATTCTTACTTTCATCCGGATGAATGCGGTTCTCAATTGAACAATTTAAATTGTCCCCGAGCGGGTGCGGTGCGGTGCGGTGCGATGCGATGCTAGCGCGCACCGCACCCGCTCGCACGCAGGACATGCCAGTGAGACGGCGCGCACCATCTGTATTTCTTTTGACATAATTTGAAGAATAGTCTAGGGTCATAATGAGATCGTATAACATAGGAAGCGACACAAGAGCGGTACAGTGTTGAACTGTCGGACGTACAATGTTAATATTGCGATGCTCTAGAATCATTCCACTACAAAATGTATCGAGGGAGGGAGACGCGTGCGGGACCGCGTGCACGCCGCTCACGTGCCCGCAAACGCGCGCTCTGCCTTTGTTTTTAACGGTCCGACACTCAAGGAAGCAATTTACCTACAATACACCACTACACCAAGCTGTGACTAATTGAACCTACCCTGTGATGTTTTGCGATTTGTATTCAACTATTGAGTCATGTTTCAGTTATCGCTTTTAGCGCAGGCAAGTTTCATTATCGGACGCCAGGGAGTGAGCTGACAACGGAGCACAGCGCTGTAGCCGAGGGGGTGGGGGGGGGGGGGGGGGGGGGGGTATGTAGAGGGGTGCGCGGCCCTGACCCGCGCCCGCATTGTGCCGCTGCTTCGTTTCAACTTCATAACCATAATAAGCAAACTCGACTCATAATTTTCTACATAATACAAACTGGCGTAAGGAAATAAATGCAAGTGCAGAGTTGAGTGTTGTGGAAACTCTCTGCAAAACCTTTATATAATGTCCACAATGCAACCATTACCTGTCTTCTAGGGTTTTGAAGTAAGTAAGTGATTGCAAACTGTTGTCGAACATTTTTCAAACGAAGTAATCATTGTTAATAATTTCTACGGGAGCAGTAGTAGCGGCAGCAACACTTAACAAGAAGTAACAGTTAGGAGGCCTAGGCAGACACATGCGACACTAGATGATGGCCGCCGGCTTAGTTTGCTCAGTTTGCGGTGGTCGTGTGGCGTGTTACGGCTGGTACGCACCTCGTCAAAGTTGTCGACCATAAAGCAGATGTGGGGGTAGGTCATCTCCTCGCCCTCGCCCTTCGTGTCCATCTTCCGCCGGCTGGGCGACGCGTACACCTGCACACAAATACACACACACTTATTGCATGCACAAGCGTGATGTCTATGTATACTGTCCAAATTGAAGTTATTTATAATATATTCGTTAGTGCTCAAAGCGAACAAAACGTCGACCCCGCTGCTATGCGTTCAATCATATAATACCATCTCTTTGATCCAACCAACCAACGCGCCGAATACTTTGCTGCAGATAAATGTAATGTTTGTAAAAATGGAGAGAATGGGTAAACGCCAAATGTCAATGAAAAAGCAAGGTAACGCACTTCAACTCAACAGAATGATCATCAATAATTGTCTTTTTGAACGTTTATTAAAATGTGTTCTTTGTTTACAAATAAGGTACATATATTGTTATTACTTTGTTTCTTAATCATAACAAAAGGAAGAATATAGTTAATATATGAAATCACATTAAATGTATGGCGACGTTCGTTATGTAGGCATGCAGCAGTGAGGGGTGAGGGGCGAGGGGCGCGGGGCGACACCGGCGGTGACATCATAATTAAGAGACGATGCATTTGTGCACAAAACAAAAGCACCACAATTTATAAACATTAGCACGAGTTCGTGAGCCGCTATACTTAATAGAGGAGTTTATCTTTGACAATATAGCTATAGGGTAATAATACATTTGAAAAGTTGTTAATGGGATTGGTCGTGAAATGTAGGTCATGTATAATAAAAGAATATATAAGTCTCGCAACTCAATCACTACAAAACATTGTGATTGATTGGTGTAATGAGGCGCACAAACAAAGTGATTGAGGATTTTCATGTTCACGTGACCCCATAGAAATGTGATGACAAGATTGTCAATTTCTCGGCGAGAGTCATTGATATTGAAGTTCAGAGAGTATTAAACACATTAGAGAAATTCTATTGTTATAATTTGTAAGTATAACACATAGCGAACCTGTCCGGTAGGTTGCTAAGTACATTCATTTGCAACATTGCATCAGAAGAAGGAGCTGTTCATTTAAAAAAAAATGGATCCCAACATCTAGGCCGCCGCCGAATAGCGAGCTGCAATACTTCGCGCCACACACTAATCAGATTAAAGTGGTCGAGACGAGCCAAGCGCCTGCCGCGCGACGCACGAGCTGGACGTCGGACAGGCCAGCGCACCGGCCGGCTCAGCGCCCCTTCTTACTTAATTGGATGATAGACGAGCGAGGATGCGCCCTCTAGAAAATAATTAATGTAATTAAAAGGATCGGAAGCCCGACAAGAGGCCGCGGATATGCGAGCGCTGCCGTAACGTTTCGCTACAAGCAAGTATTATTCATAAAATCGACGTCGCGCCAGTGGTTTGTTTTCACACTCATCACTTGTAATCTTTTACTACACTTTAAAACCATTAAAACCACAGTAAGAATATACGTGTACCCGACGATGTGCGGTGAACTTAACCCTTATCTTCATTTTGTATAGTATACCAAACATACAACTTTATAAAAATATACGGTTACTATAAAATAATTTTTAACTTTGTTTTTTGCTTTACTTCAAAAAAGAAATCTTGCCACAAAAGGGTTAAATACATCGGTATCGGTATTCGGTAAAATGCAGAAAAAATACTCATAGTCCACTATCAGCTGTGATTATCATGTATATAAGAGTAAAGCCTACACTTTTACAACCACGTTGACGTTCATAACATCAATGAACGCCGGTCGAAGTGTTACATACTGTCAAATTGTACATTTTGAAGTAATTCTTGTGTAGCGCGTCTGTCGTTTCAGTGAGATATTTTCCGAAGTCTTAATCTTTCAAATCACTGTATCACTGTGCCGTGCTACATCATCGGAAATGTGAGTAAAGTTAGAACTGTTCTGTTAGAAAAAGACCTTTCGGTTTTGTCTTGTAACTTGTATTGCAAGGTTGATATATTTTTTTTAATATTTACTATGTATGTAAAAAAGAACTAGGAAATTTAGAAACCACAGGTAAAATATTTGTTATATATTTCGTTACCTAAATAAAAAACAGTTCTAGCAATCACAAGCACGAAATTCGACTTTATTGACTTATTCAATGTAAATGAGTGGTCGCGGTCGGTCTCGCCGTCGCGTCGCGTGGTGTAGGGTCGGCTCGCGGGCGCTTCGGTGCGGCCGCACCGGCCGCAGGCGGGACGATGTCGCTGACGTCACATGCTTCTCGCTCGCACCCGCGCACAGGCGCGCCGAGCATGCGCGGTTCCGGCCGAGCGCCGCCGAACGCCGTCGACCGAAGCCAACCGGTGCCCCGCCGTTTCTAGTTCGCGGCCGCCGCTTTGCGGGTTCGCTCGTTTAATCTCCTTCAATTAAAATAAATTTATACCAAAGTCCAACGACGCACAGTGCTGTGCTAAAGTGAAGGAACTTCGAGCAGTGCAAAGGTGTGTTGCGACTATTACAACGCAAAATAGTGGTGCGTGACCTAGTTTTGGCGACTCCAAAACTTAGCAGCTCCTATCGTCGGCGCTCCGGTTTTCCATCGGGCGTTGGGACGAATCGATGTGAGGCCGCGTACGGCCCGAATGACAGCTTTGCACATTGATCGGGTGAGTGTGAAGTGTGAATGCAAACGGGACCGCTTCCGTGCGCTTTCTACATCGTATCGAATGAACAAATGCATGTACGACATTTGCTGAATTCTATATGTATACCTAGTCTATCTACGCCACGACTATTATACATGGCATATTAATAAGTAAATTATTGTCAAGCCAGCCGCAAGAGCGGCGGAGAGCGGCGCCTCGCCACACGTCTGTCCGCTGTCGGTCTTTGAACCGAGGGCTTTCTCGTTCGTTTGTTTACTGTTTTAAGAGGTATGGAAGCGTTGCTACGACGCAACTATTTTGTGCCCAATCTCACAACTGAACCAAATCTGAAGACGTTACAAATGCGAATTGTACAAGTGTACGTTCCTTTATCTCCTAGTAGTGACATAACCGCGACTTCGATTACACATAACATAAAAATTTAATTACGCTATTAAACTACAGTAACACAATAATAACTGCTGTTTAATTCGGCGTCTACTTAAAATTGGATGATAACTTGTGCAATACATTGTTTATGTACTTTTTGTAGTCGTAACTCAAAATCTACTCGTTCCAATTCCAGGCTTGATCCAGACCAATGGTGATTGGATGACGATCTCGGCCCGCTCTCCAGACAAGGAGCCTTCGCCACCTGAGCAGATCAACCTTGCCGAGCCGCTGGTGGAGTCAGTGCGTATCTACCTCGCCCATGAGCTGCCGCCGAAGCAGCTAGCGCCGACAGGCACGCCGCCGGCTTCCTGTCATGCGGACATAGGCAGCGATACAGCGCGTGAGGACATCCGAGGGATCAATTTCGAACCCCGACTGCAGCGCAACGGCAATGACGTAAACAACAACGCGTCGCGCCGCGCCATGCCTAGCCAAGCCGAACTCATGCAGCGCCAACCGCTGCTGGCGCGCGCCGTTAAGCCAGACGCGCCGCAGCCTACCACCGACGACTCCGACCCCGACCAGGATCACTCGCCACAGCGCACGCACGCCACCGATTTTGTCGTTGAAATTCCGCCGGGCACCGTTCGCGAAGAACGCTACCCGAAGGAGATATGGAAAACGATAATCTCCTTCTTTTTCCTTTTTCTCTGCGTCTGCATTAATATGATGTCATTGTCTCTTGTCCACGAGCGGCTTCCCGATAGAAATACCACTTCACCCCTCGGGGATATCGTCCTCGACAATATAACGGCAAGGGATTGGGGCCTGGCCGTGTCGGAGTATCTCATCATGATATCGACGACGGTCGCGATGATGGTCGTCATATTCCACAAGCACCGGTTCATCGTGGCGCGCCGCATGTTCTTTATAATCGGTCTGCTGTACCTGTACCGCTCGGTCACCATGTTCGTGACCGTCCTGCCGGTCTCGAGCACGACATACTACTGCAGCCCAAAGAGTAACAACACGACGCCGCTGCTCGTTATTAGAAGGATGTTTTACCTCATTTCTGGCTTCGGATTATCTATCAACGGGAAGCATACGTACTGTGGGGATTATATATATTCGGGGCACACAATGGTACTAGTGTTGAGTTATTTAATAGTAGCAGAATACTCGCCGAAGAAGTTATGGCCCGTACATTGGGCCATGTGGGGGTCGGCAATACTGGGCGTTTCGTTTGTTTTGCTAGCGCACGGCCACTACACCGTAGACGTGGTGATTGCCTACTACGTTACGACGCGGCTATTCTGGACGTTCCACTCGCTGCTGGTGACGCCTTATCGGAGCGGCGGCGGCTACAACCAGTACATGATTCAGCGGGAGTGGTGGTATTGGCTATTCACGTACCTGGAGAGGAACGTACGCGGTCCAGTGCCTCGGCGGTACGACTGGCCGCTGCCCTGGCCACGCACCAAGCTCTTCAGCCGACTTAGCTAGTGACGAGCGCGCGCCGCGCCGCCGCCGGAGCGGGTATGACCCTTACCTTCTGCGAATGACGCTTGAGCACCTGCAGCTCCTTGGGGCTGGTGCGCGTGCAGATCGCCAACGTGAGCGTGTAATCGAACTGGTGCACGATCAGGTTGAGGTAGACGGTTTCTTCCCAGTCGATTTCTGGGTCTCCGATGGGCAGCTTCTTCGAATCCTTGCGGAACACCTCGACATCCGTCTGCGAAGGAGCGGCGTGACTTAGACTGGTGCATTGCGTGACTATTGGCTGTGCTTATTATTGACTTTTCGGTTCTAAATGAGGGCCTATGTGTAAATTGTGATAACAGTGCAAACTCGCTCGTGATGAACTCTTCTTTCAAATTATGCTTTCGTTGTTATAGATTGATAAAGTTATTCTATGGAGCGAGGAGCCATGGATTACTATCGACTGTTAATGAATTTTGCGTTTTTATAAATAAATTGTATATAACTAATAAGTAGTTGGTATTAAAGATAAAATGCCAAGTTTAGCTAAAACACACTATTTAGTAACAAAATGTATTGTGATGAACTAGGAGGTATATCGTGTGAGCGTTTCGTAATAGTACATATTTGTTGTATGGACAAGAGAAATGGCTAAGAAAAATATTTTTATAATGTTTAAAAATAAAGTACACAAGTGTTATAAAATTCAAACTTTTTATATTTCCGAAATCATGGCCGAGACAATTTTGTATCTTTAATCCAAATGGTGCTAAATATAGATACTAATTTGGAATGAATGGACTTTATGACTTTAATGCACAAGCACCAATTATTTTGTTACCATATGCGGATCAAACTCACAAATCACACATTTTATTTAACAGAGCATAATAATACATATTCATTCAAAAGTGCAAATACAACTGCTCTGTTGCTTAATCATAGTTATGTGTGTGTGTAAAACATCATTTTAGTGCTCTTCAAAAGGGCACGCAAGTTTTATGGATGATAAATTATTAACATTAAATAATTTGTATAAGAAACTGCAATAACATTACCTCATATTTAGGCAGATACCGTGAAGATCCCTTAACATGTCTTTTCCTCACAAAAAATAGAAGGTCATCGCAGTCAATGGCTTGCTCCTCTTGAAACAGGAAGTGTCTGACAAACAAGTCTGTCCAGTATGTAGTTCCCTGCAGCACCACAAAGCCCGACTCTGCCAACATTGTACCCATTTGTTTCTCATGCTGTCATGCACATTAAAGTATCCTAGAACATGCTCATGTTAAATGGGAGGAACAAAGTGCCTTCAAACTGTTAACTTAATGTAGCTCTATGCAACAAAGTTCACTACATTTCTATCTTATTTAGACTTACAATTATATTTATAATCTGTAGAATATGTTTATTGACAATGTAATCTGTTTTAATTATTTTGAATGTAAAATTTATATTGTAGCTTATATTTCATATCCAATGGGAGACTAGTTGCATCTCCTAGCATTATTTGTTCTGTTCATGTTGAAATTGTTATTTGTTGGCTGGACACTGTTGATTGTGTATGTCTTGCCTTTTGTTGCCGTGCCCAATGCTGCATTGTTCTTTGTAAATAGCTAAGAATGGCAGTGTTTGCCGTGGTTAACAATCAAATTAGATGTTTTGAATATTTTATAAATAATACAACAGAAGAATAAGCTATTTTTAACTGTTTGTTTGTGATGAAATGTTTAACTAATGGAAATTAGGGTAAGGTAATTATTTATTATGTTTCAAATTGACAGTAGAACATTTTTGTTAAACCCTGCACTTTAAATGTCAATAAAGCTATATAAATAAAAGGATGAGACTCTTGCAGACTGAAAAATTATTATAACAAATTTATTTATATTGTAAACATGGTAAGATTACTTTTACATGTTCCACAAATCCCATACATTGTAAATACTTTTCCCTATTTATTTTGTTTTATTTTGACAAGATATACTTTTTGAGATTTAAATTAAGTTGTGGTATTATGCTTGAAAGTAACATACTTCCTAATAAGATATTTTTATGATACAAGTACATATGTAATTGTTGCTGCCAAGCTCCTATAGATGAAGACTTTGTCTGCATGTACATCTTGTTGACAAACAAATTGTTAGTTAATGTTACTGCAACTAAACTCGCATAAGTATAAGTAGTCCCTTCAGTATATTCAATATTCAGTATATACTCAAATCCAATGGAAATGAAGAATTATATTCACACATTTCAATTCCTCACAATGTCATTTATTTTAGAACATTTCAGTGTTTAAATTTTCAATACACACATGTCTATTTTTAATAAGTCTATGAATACACCCTTATAGAGGCAAAATTGTTTAAAAAGCTGTTTATAATTTCTCATTTTCATTAATTTCAAGTATGTGTTGTAACTGCAATAACTCACAAGAGTTTTGTGTCAGAGCAGGCATATACATGATTATCACCACATCTAATGTATAGTTATCTTGTTGTAATTTTAACTAAAAAATGGTAATAAATACTATCCAGTGTACATTTGAAAACACATTCCGCATGATATTTTAAGTTATAGAACAACCCATGCCGAGGCATTTGATATAGCAAATTCTGAGTGTTTCTTACGGGAATTAACATTTTATCAAAGTTTTAAAATATTGAATGCATTGTCAGTCTTTCCAGAAACCTTTATTAGTAGCAACAATCATAGCAAAGGTTATAAAACAAGAGCAAAGTTATAGATAATATTTTAATATAATTAATTAAAATATGTATTTAACCATTGCTGTTGTAAAATATTTCATTAATATATGTTTTTTTCTATTCATTATTTTATTTAAGCTTCCTTCATCTTTATCTATGGATGTTCAGCACAATATTATACAATACATATACAATACAATACATCTCTATCAGTCGTCATATCCAAATTTACTTCCTTCCTATGTAATTTATCCTCTTTCAGATAATACAAGCTAATTTTCTTCAATTATTCTTTAAGTTTCTTAGTAATCCACATACAACACTCCTTCATTGTTAATGTGCTTAACATGCAATATACATGAGAGATACCCATTCTATCTCACAATCATATGATTACATAAACTAAGTATAGTTTCATCAACAAATAACTTGTACTTCTAATTTTTTATATGTCCTTTGTTTTGAGAAAATGGCAGTATTGCTTGTACTAAAATAATCAAGTTGTTAAGTTAGACAAAATAATAATACTTGAATAATGAAAGTATACACTGATCTTTAATCATTTGCATTTTTTTTTTCAAAGTACATGGAATTGATAAATTTGTGATTCAGGCTTTTTTATTATTTGTAATTTGTATTGAGAAATGAAATTTTATCCTGCACTAGGCTGACTATGACCCTGACTTAGGGTAGACTCTAAGCTCCTCCATTTGGAACAAGAGTTGCAAACCTAATCAAATTATACTTAGTGAGGTATAGAAGCATCTTTTATACCACAGTTTAATTATAAATACATTTGTTGTTTGATTTTTTCGTTAAAACCTAGTAAATTGTCTAGTTTAAATATAAAGAAATCTCCTTATTTACAACAAGTCAAAATAATGGACAAAGGATAAGAGGAAACATTGTAACTGGTGAAGGGTTTGAGAGAGGGGGGCAGTGAGGACCATGTGTACACAATTTTTACTTTACCTTCCCACAATTAGCTAAATAAAACTTTTTAAAAACTATAGGCCAAAGCACATGTACACCAAACAGAACTCTGAACAGTGACAATGAAAGTGTTTTAGTTTTCTTTGAAATTATATTTCAATGACTTGATAGTAATCTTCATCCGCCTTCAGACCTGACAAGTTTGTGTTGAATACAAGTAGGCACACGTCAATCTAACATCTTACTGATATTAAAAATGGGAATGAATGGATGGATGGATGTTTCTTTGTTAGAATGTATCTCCAGAATAGCTGCCTGGATCTCGCTGAAATTTGGCATAGATGTAGAACATAGTCTGGAAGAACACATAGGCTACTAATTAAGTATTTTTAAATTCCGTGCGGACGGAATTGCAGGAGTCAGCTACATTATCATAATACCTTTAACCTTAACATATGTTTCAACTTTATTTTAGTGATAGGGTTTGTACGAATACATTCAAAATATACAGATTCACGCCCTAAAAAGGGCGCTGTTTACATAGTCATTTATACATAGCCTTGAGGCTTATAACCTGTAATCTGGAGCATTCGCCAAGAATTTGCTTTGTAATATATTTTAACCAAATCTACTGGCAATAAACAGTACTTTGTTTGGTTTTTATTTAAATTAAAATCAATACAGCAAATATATCCAAAACTCACCATCCTTCAAGAGCTGCCGCATCTCTTTTGTTCTCTGAAAATTGATTTCTTCGAGTAACTGCTCCAACATAGTTGCATCTTGCAAATACGTTGACCCCCCTAAAGCCATTGCTATACGAATAATAACAAAACCCCGACTAAAACAACACACAAACACCTCATATGTCAACACAACCCTACAATAAACCCATACGAGCAAATGTCCATAATTTAACTGAACCTTAACTACCAATCTCACTAAAAGGTGTCTTTTATAAGAATGCACTCTTAATTTAAAAAATTTAATATTTAATAAAACTTCTAACTTAAACTTATCCTAAATCACAATCAATTCATAAAATTTGAAGTAGTTGTACTTCTATCTTACTGTACTACTACCATACTACTGTCAAAACAGTGTGACCACTTTTAATATCTAATTTCTATTAAGCAAGACCAAACAGCCGGGTGATTTTTTCCATTTTCGCCGGCATTGTCGATTACATCTTCTTTTCATTTCATTTATAGACCGACAAGGCTAGACCTTTTTTACAGTTTATGGAAGTGTTTATAGACCGACGCGATATGTGACCAGCAGAACATAAAACAAACTAAATTATTGTAAGCCATTTCATATATTCTGTAATTCCTTAACGTAAAACGTTATTTAGTCTATGCTATAAGTCAATAACACTTTTGTTTATTTAATATAACAACATTAATCATTTGTATTACGATCCAAAAGATTATTTAAATATTTGATTCTCAAATATAAAATAGAAGTATACAACTTATCATGTTAATTATCTGACGGTATTTCGTTATCGTAAATTAAAAGTATTGTAATTGCTCGTCTGAATGACGGCCATGTTTTTCTGACATTCGGGGAATGAGAATGACAATGTAACAGCGGTGTTTTTGAAAAAGTTGTTGTTTACAATTCTAAAGGAAATATATGAGTTAAAGAAGACTATGTTTTATTTGAAAAAGTATTCTCCGGCTGTGACTCCCACATTATGATAGGTCATTAATGTTCTAAGGATCATTGGAAATTTGAGTTACAAACAAAAATTGTCACAAAATACAAGTTTTGTAGCCTGTACATTTAATAGAGGCCACATCATGCGATCTACTTGTCACATTTTAAATGTCAATGTTGTCATGTTTGTCATGTCATTCACAATCTTGACATTGATCTATTCGTAATGGAAAAGCACAAAAAACAAAATCTTACGACTTGATTTAAAATGAAATCCGCTAAAAATGCTTAAATAATAAAAAAAGGGATAACACAATGAAGATCTTTCAATACTCAATTTATGAGTTGCAAAAAGTTAAGTTATAATTACAAAATTAATGTCCACCATGTTTAGGAATCCTAGATCATTTAATCGTTTGCTGCGACTTATGACTCGCTCGACTCGCATTTTGAGTGTTCCAATGAGACGAAGTGTATCAAGTAACGTTGCAGAAAAGATATATTTAACATCCCACAACAACCAGCTCCGGAAAATCGTTGGCGCAGCTTCCTTAGGACTGGCAATATTAGCCGCTGACTATGTTTTTAACGGTAGGCTTTTATACTGTGTGTTTCTTGGTTTTGTTGAATTGGTTATTAGTGTCACCAAAAGATACACATCTGTAGATTTTAAATGGTTACAGTTTTGTGTCACTTTTACCCACCTCTGCCTTGTACATCCACACACTATTGTCACCCCATTACAGAAATACATTTTGTAAACTTGCAGTGAATTATACAAGATGTTAATACTGTCCAACTTGTGCTAAGAAGGCAAAGCTAAAGGACCATAGAGAACACCGTGGGCCTGTTAATTTTCCTTAACTTTTTTATGCCCAAGCACTACATTGTAAACTTGAAGTAGAATTTTGTTCGGCATTTTATCTGATGAATGAGTGTGCTAAGTCTCTATTAAAGTCCTCTTCTGAAGGAGGAGCATAGTCTCTAGCTGCCTAGTTTGAAGCTATGGGAAGGTGATGTGGATTGAAGAGAGAGTTGACATAAAGGAAAGGGAAAATATCTCCTTTGTCCAGTGAAGGTAGGGAACACATATGTCTATAGACAGTTATCAAATGGCTTTGTTAGAGAAATCATGTGGCTGCTTGCTCGTTTGCTACCTCTTACTGTAAGAAAACATTCAGAGCCAGATATTGTTCAGTATTATTAAGCATTGGTGGCTCAGGGGTTAAGCACAAGGTCGTGGGTTGAATTGACACAATTCATGCACACAATAAGATTGTGATATATTGTTTCAGAGAAAAGGTTCTTCAAAGCTGCTCAGACTGGCAATGTGCAGGAACTCCTCAAGTATGTGTGTAACTTGTTATTTGATAAATGATGATGATGATGATGCCGTGTGGCATACTAATGTCACACCAGAGTTAGTCAGCATTCATTTAAAGCTAGGGAGCATAAGCAAGTCAATTATATTGCATACCACAAAGTTATTCTACTTTATGTTGCAGCAACAAAAACTTTATAAACTTTTTGTTTATTCAAAGTTAAAGTGTCATTCTACTCAGAAATTATTACACACTGTGTTCTAAGATCTAACTCTGGTTATAACAGGATAGGGAGATGATGAGCGTAGTGCCCTATGCTCCTTTAAATTGCTTTGCCTTTAAGATGGCAAAAACTGTTATTGGTACTTGTGACAAATCTTTATTGGGATATAAAACTAACGGTTACATCCTTCTGGTCATAGATCACAATAGATAACAATACGTGTGATTGTTCTCTATTGTGACATAATAAATATGGAAATGAATATCTATGAACTATTTTAGACAGCTAGAGGCGGCGAGCGAGAGTCGGCGCGGGTCCGGTGAGACCGCAGCGGACCTGCGCCACCCCCTGGGCTGGACGGCGCTGATGGTGGCCGCCGCCAACGACCGGCCGGCCGCCGTGCGGGAGCTGCTGCGCCGGGGCGCGCGGCCCGACCTTCGCGAGCGCTACGCCGGCGCCTCCGCCGCCGCCTCGCTGGCCGGCCTGCATCCACTCGAGGCGCTCCAACGTCGCGAGGACGAATTTTGCAGTTCTATGAATGCCCGAGCTTCTTTTCTGGGCTGGACGGCATTACATTACGCGGCGCTCGCCGACTCGGCCGCGTGCGCGCGCGAGCTGCTGGAGAAGGGCGCGGACCCCACGGCCAGGGACCACGCGGGGCGGCGTCCGCTGCACTACACCCGCGACCCCTCGCCGGCCCGCGAGCTCATCCTGCAGCACACGCGCCGCTGGGAGGAGGCCGCCGCCGCCGCCGCCGCCGAGGAACGTCGCCGGTTCCCTCTCGAGCAGCGGCTCAAACAGTTCATCGTGGGCCAGCAGGCGGCCATCGAGACCGTCGCAGCGGCCGTCCGACGCAAGGAGAACGGTTGGGCCGACGAGGAACACCCCCTCGTGTTCCTCTTCCTCGGCAGCTCGGGCATCGGCAAGACGGAGCTGGCCAAGCAGCTCGCCCGCTACATGCACAAGGACGACCCGGCGGCGTTCATCCGGCTCGACATGTCCGAGTACCAGGAGAAGCACGAGGTGGCCAAGCTGATCGGCGCGCCGCCCGGCTACGTGGGCCACGAGGAGGGCGGCCAGCTGACGCGCGCGCTGGCCCGCCGCGCCGACGCCGTAGTGCTCTTCGACGAGGTGGACAAGGCGCACCCCGACGTCCTCACGGTCCTCTTGCAACTCTTCGACGAGGTGATGTCGCTATGTAGCCCGGTTCGCGTCGCCGACGCCGACCGTTCGCCCTTCCTCCATTCCTCCCCATAAACGTGTTTGCGGTCGCAGGGTCGGCTCACGGATGGCAAGGGAAAGCTCATCGAATGTAAGAACGCCATATTCGTAATGACGTCCAACCTCGCCTCAGACGAGATCGCGCAGTACGGGCTGCAGCTGCGGCGCGAGGCGGAGATGCGCGCGGCGCAGCGCACGCGTCCGCAAGTCACCGACGTCCCCAAAGGTACTGCGCGTTCTGCCGCGTCCGCACCGTGCTGCACCACGTCGCACCAGGTCGCACCAGGCCGCACCACGCCCGACTAATGTTCTAATCGATTTCTCCCGGTTGCAGAGAAGGTGGAGAACAAGCCCCCCCTACCTCCCGAGGGTGGGGACGCCGAGGACGCAGAGGACGCCGAGGAGACGCTGGAGGTCTCGCGTCACTTCAAGGATGGCGTCGTGAGACCGATTTTAAAGAAACATTTCGGTCGCGACGAGTTCCTCGGGCGCATCAATGAGATCGTGTACTTCCTGCCGTTCTCGCGACAGGAGCTGCTGACGCTGGTCAATATGGAGCTGAAGCTGTGGGCGGAGAAGGCGCGCAGCCGACACGACGTGGAGCTGCGCTGGGAGGGCGGCGTTCTGGGCGCGCTCGCCGACGGGTCAGCCGCCTCTCTTTGTCGTTTTTGCACCACCGCACCCTCGCTTGCCAGATTACAATATAGACTAGGTGTATCATCTCCTTAGGCACTTCGCGTTTTGAGATCTCGAGGTCTCTCAACATTGTTTTGAATATGTTACCGCAAAAGCACTGTCACTGTTATGTTTGTTTCCAGCATTTACCTCCATTCAATAGATACATCTCAGGACTTAGGTATAAATGAAATACATCTTAAATGGAGATGAACATGCTATTAACATTATATTCATCATCATCATCAGCTCACTATACGTTCCCACTGAGGGTCTCGTAGGAGTAGTTGAGGTGTAAAACGAGGTGTGCACTGCGGCGCAGGTACGACGTGCACTACGGCGCGCGCTCCATCAAGCACGAGGTGGAGCGGCGCGTGGTGAACCAGCTGGCGCTGGCGGCGGAGCGCGGGGCGCTGGCTCGCGGCGCTGGCGTGCTGCTGAGCGCGCGCGCCGGCCGCGTGCAGCTGGCGGTGCGCCGCGCGCGCGACCAGCGCTACGAGCCCCTTGACCTCGCCGCGCTCTGACTCACCCCCCACTAACTTCATTAAAATCTTTTCGCAACTATTGCCTTTTTATTTTATATCCCGGCTGATGTTACATTCAATAATTAGACTTGTATATTGTCAAATGACAGTTTGACGTAATGTTGCATGATGATGTAAACATTTACAATATCAATAGAGATTGTAGCACATTAATGTCAACGTCTTTATGTCGTTGCTTTAATAAACATTTTATGAAAAAAACACAAATGAACAGGGTTCCCGATAACAGGTGTCACATAATAAGTTAATTTCATCATATTTTAAGTTCGTTCGCTCATTTACTGTTATTTTAATTAGGATAGGAAATTTAATCATACTGATATTATAAATGTGAATGTTTAGATGGATGGATGTATGTTTGAAGGTATCTCCGAAACGGCTCAACGGATCTCGATGAAATTTGGCACAGATGCAGAACATAGTCTACAAGAACACATAGGCTATTCATTAAGTTTTTTTTAATTCGTCACGGACGTCAGCAAGCCAACCAAATTATTGAAAAATTTGTCGTTGGACACAAATATTGATATCATTATTATTTTTTAAATTTGTATAAACCCATGATCATCTTCCTCGCCTCTAATGTCTTATAGACAGTACATGCCCGCTTTAATAAAGCGACGATCAAAGAACAACAAGCCTAACCTAATTAACTAGTACAACTAAAAGAAATTTCAATTTCCTGATACTTATGTAAAATACAAGACAACATCTGTGGGTATTATGGGTTAATGAAATAAAACAAACAAGTACATAGTGCCAGTTTTAATCACTTTCGCACCGTTATATACAAATGCAATGTATAAATAAACAACAACTCCTTACAAAATATAAATAGTGTGGCGCTCCGCCTGCACAACTAAACACTTGTGAACGCCTCCGGTGCTATTGGGTCGGCTAACATGGGCTAACATTGTATATTGGTGGCGCGGCGGAGGCGAGAGCGGCAATGTGAAACATGTCTTGCTATTTATTGCGCTCCTAGTGAGCACGACATTCTTACTTAAATATAAAGTAAACAAGGATATGTTATGATGTCAGATAGTTTCTCAATGCGGAGCCGGATGCGAAGAGGGCGTCAAGAGTGCAGGCGAGTGGTGGACAGTTACAGGCGCAAACTCGTTCACACTATTCCGGTCCATTCATGTACCAGTGGCGGCGCTTCGCAGTTATAATACGCTGTGTAAAAATCGGCTTTGATGTTTTTGTGGAACCCGACATAACGTGAACTGTTTCATACAATCAATTTGCGCATTCACATGAATATACCGAATGGAACTATCTCCTTCGTTGTGCTTTTTCATTTATAATGGACATTTACTGTAAATGTTTTCCCTGTATTAAAGTTTTAGGCCGTATATAATGTAGTGTCAGATGTGTCAAGAGGCTGCTGGCGCCCCGAGATGTGCGGCGTATCAGATGTGGCTTACAAGGGTGCACAGTCTTTATTTATTATTCATAATGGCATATGTAATTATTTGTGTGAAGCGCTACATCATTTTATGTGATACATATAAGTACATAAATACAGCTAGACGTGCGTGCGCCGACAATATGTCACTGGAAAACTCTCTGGAACACATTATTTTGTATATTTATTATGTTACGTTTAGTATTCACATTATAATTCATATATAAAATAGAATAACGTCTAATTATATGCTATTTTTAAATCTCATTTTTATCTAACTAGACTAGTTGGTGTTCAATAATTGCCTAAATTTCTACTTCCCTTCGCGGTACGCTTACAGCGAGGCCAATAGGTTGACTTCGGCCGATCGAAACGAACGAATGGAAAGGCAGGAGAGCGCCGATTGCCATCTCGCAATGTCACTGTTTCCACCGAGACGCTGTGCAAAAATTAATTTAAATGTAAAGGTTATGGCGGGAACGGATAAGACACCAAATCTGACGATAATTCGGTTTCGCCCCGGTCGCCGCCCGCGCTTCTCGGACGACGACGTCTTAGCTCCTAGTGATACGTGCACTTCACTAATTACGATTATTTTTGTTGCACAAACGTCGAATGCGTTCGATCCGCGCTAACCGCGGCCGAATTATTTCCGGAGGATGCATGAAGTGAGGCAGAGATCTCCCGGTGCACCCCACGGCCTACAGCCAGCCCGCAGAGTGGTGCGGCGCGTGCCCGTGGAGCGGCGTCACGCCCGCCAGCCGCGCCAGCGCCGCGCACCGCCCGCACGCCCCGCCCGCCGCCCCGCTCGCCGTCCCGCCCGCTCCGCCCGCTCCGCCCGCCGCGCACTCCTCGCTCGCCTCGTACCCGCACTGTCCGCACGACTCCTGCCAAAAATATTGTCTCGTCACCTCACGTACGTCACCTCCGCGTACAGATTCACCAGGAAGGGAACCGGCGGCAACCTTATGTGCGTCGTCGTCGAGGCTCGCCAGGAGCGGCTCGCGGCTGCCGGCGGGCGCGGGCGAGGGCGCGGGGGGCGCGGCGGGCGGCGCGCGGGGCGGTGCGGCGGGCGCGGCGGGCAGGGGGGGCGCGCGCGCCGGCACGGAGCTGGCGCGCTGGAGTGCCTCGCTGGCGCGCTGGTCGGGCGCGGCGGCGCGCCGGGAGTCGGAGAACTTCTTGCGCTTGCGCTTGAGGGCGGCGAGCGCGGAGAGCGGATGCAGGGGGCCGCTGCGCGCGCGCTCGGGGCTGCGCTGCGAGTCGCTGCCGGACTCGGAGCGCTCGCTGCCGCTGTTGCATTACACCATTATGTTACTTCTTATATCTTGGAAAATACAGAAGTGGATTTTTATCCTATCATCTCCTACTATAAAAATTTTACGCTGACATCTAGTGCGGCGTATTCGTGTGTGACGGAGGAGATAAATAATAATATTATAATTCCCTCCCGTAATAATTTGTACGGCGTCCGTGTACACTTTCTTGCTCGTAGCCTTTGTGTTCTGTCTATGTTAAGTTTCATCGAGATCCATGCGGTAATTATAATTTTTTAACAAACGAACCACACATCCGCATATATTTACATTCGTATTTACTAACAAAAATACCCTCGGAGACCATGTTGCGATACATTTCTTCAGAGTTGTCATTTTTATTGCAAAATGACATTTCGAAAATCGGCTTTCGTTCAGACGTGAAACTTGAATGAAATACTCCGTCCATAGGCTATAAAGGTATAAGCGGGCAAGAGGCGACGGACCTGGGCGAGGGGCGGGCGTGGTCGCAGACGGAGTCCTCGGAGCGCGAGCGGCCGATGAGACGCGAGACGCGGGCGGCGCGCGCGGCCTCGATGATGGTGCCCCAGCGCCGCTTGTGCGTCGGCTTGCGGCCGTGCGTCGCGTGCGGCGCGTGCGGCGCGTGCGGCCCGCCGCCGTCCGACAGGCTGGACTGGCTAGCGCGCAGACGGCCGCCCAGCAACGCGGAGAGCGAGGCGTGGGCGCCGTGCCCGCCGTGCCCGCCGTGCTCGTGGTGCTCGTGGTGCAGCGAGGCCAGGAACTCGTCGACGGGCGCCAGCGGTCCGCCCGGCGCGATGTTGAACCCCTTCATCAGCCGGCGCTCCTTCTGTCGGTTCTTCTTGCCGCCGCCGCCGCCTTACCGAACGAGTAACTATCTTATAAATCAAATTCGCTTTCAGGTTTTGCTTTGCCGACTAATGTTAATTTCTCTACGAGGCGTACCTGGCGCGCCCGCGTTGGCGGTGGAGGTGTTCATGCCGGAGTTGCGCAGGATCTCGACCAGCTCGCAGCGGAAGGCGCTCACGTCCTGCTTGATCTCGTTGACGTCGTCCTCGGTGACGCCGCCGCTCTCCGCGCGTCGCTGCTGCACCGTCACGTAGCGCCGCACCAGGTTGCGCATGATGCCCTGCGACATCAGACTTCATTATACCTACTTTTTATAGTATATATTGTTAACGAGCAAGCTGCTTCCTGGATTCGGCCCAGATCCGCAATTGCAGATGCACAGGTAGGCAACCTTTAATTGACGGAGGAGAGACGCACAAACCTCAAAATTACGCCACCGGCACGCACACTTATAAGACGAAACGCAAAATTGCTTGCGGCTTCACGGCCGCCTTTTGTGTGCTTGTGGTATTTCACGGTAAGAGTTATCATATTCTATACTTTTGAATTTTTTTTTGTTGTTTGACGAGTATAGAAGACGATTCAGTTTACTAACCTGGTATCGAAAATCTCGCTCATTCGCCTGCTTCGCTTTCCTCTGGAAACATATGCAATTGGTAAAATCAAGTTTTATCGAGTAAAATGATACTATAATGCACATATTAGGAAGGTGTCACACGGGCGGGCAACTTGTCTTTGCCCAGAATCCTGGACAAAGTATTATAATAAACTCGATGTAAATTTGAATACATTACGAGCTATAGAACAGGAAATCGGCAATGGAATGCGGCTGCGGAGTGCAGAGGTGCAAGGGTGTAGGGGAGCAGAGGTGTAGGGGTGCAGAGGTGGGGCACTCACCCGGATGGTGCGCATGTGCTCGCGCTTGGCGCGCGCGTGCCCGCACAGCCGGCGCTGCAGCCAGCGCCACGCGTACAGCGCGGACTTGGGCGAGGGCACCACGTTGAAGGGCGGCGGCGCCGTGCCCCCCTCCTCGAAGTAGCTGATCCACAGCTTGCTGCGCGCGAACTTCCACTCCACGTCGGCGCGCTCCTGCCCCAACACACACACACACACACACCATGACAACAACACACACGAATTTAACATAATGAAGCCTATGTGCACCAATGTTTGTATCTATCTTCAAGGACGTGCCGCGTCATACGAGAGCGTCGGTCGGGGGTCGGAGGATGTGGCGCACTCACCGATATGAGCTGGTAGGAGTGGTTCATCATGGCGATGAGGAGATTGAGCAGCACGATGACCTGGATGACGGCGTACGTGCCGAACATAAGCATGCCCCAGAAACGCGTGAAGATCTTGATGCCGTCCAACTCGAAGGAGTCCAGGTCCACCAGCCCGAACGCCGCCCAGAACAGCGTCTGCATCGTCTCGAACAGGCTGCGCCAAAAACAATACTTAATACTACTACTTCCCGCATGCGTAAGTCTCACATTTTGTTTTTATGTATTTGATGTGATGCAATGCAGTTTTAGATCCGGTGGGATACTAAAGAACGCGGCAGACGGCAGCGGTAGTTTTATTATGGCATTTTCTGTCGGCTGCCTGCCGCTACCGCTGCCTCATGCAGACTGTCACGTTCTTCGGAGTCCCCTGTTGAGTAAGTGTATACAAGGAAAATTTAGTAAATACAACAATTATTACCAAAATTAGCTCAGTTTAATAAGTATAATTAAGTATGTGCAGATTGCATGGTGCTCAATATCGAAAATGTCGTTCGGTTCTCTCTGACATATCTTGAGGTGCTGACGCGCAGAGCCCGTTCGGTCCGGGAGCTCATCGGGTCAGAAGTAAAGTCCGGTACAAATGTTCAGTTTTAACTGAATAATCAAAGTGTTTAGTTAAATTAACAAAAACAAGTACTCAGTTATTAGTGTCACTCAGTCATTGTGATATGGGACAAGTCATGCAAACGTACTTGGCGAACCGTCGCCACACGATACACGCGTCGGGGTCGACGACGGTGCTGTTGGCCGCCGCCCCCGCCGCCCCCGACGCACCCGCCGCCCCCGCAGACCCCGTCGTGCACCGTTTCTTCTCCATTTCTGCGTAGTACCATAACAACTGGTTCAACCCTAAAACGAAACGTTACGTTAATGTAGTAGCTTCCTCTCTTTGCTGCGCGAAGAAATCGTATCGTCGAAACGCTCACCGCAAGAAAACGCGAAGATAACGAGAATATCCAAAACGAAAAACTTTAAAATGTCGAGCACCATGCGGCTGAGGGAGACCTGCAGCGGCCCGAGATGCGGGTTGACGCTGAATATGTACACCAGCTTGAGGCTGCTGAAGATATTGGCCGCCGAGAAGAGGCCCTCCGACAGCAGCATGGGGTCCCACGCGTCCCACTTCTCCCGCGGCTGGTTCCATTGCAGCTCGCGTGCCATCTCGCGCCGGACCTGTCAACACAATCTCACCAGTCGGATCCACTGCCAAGCGAAAATCTAAATCCATCAAATTTAAATGAGTAGCTACCTGGAAATAGGAGACGACTCGGAGGGCTATTGTCGCCACGTAGAGCGAGTTGGTGACGAAGTCGATGACATTCCACATGTCGTGCACGTATTCGCGCAGCCCCATGTCCCACAACTGCTTCACCTCGCTCCAGATCAGGCCTGCGCAGTCGTCCCGGCCGGAGCCAAAGACATATTTCAACACCATAATGCAGCGAGAAATTCATCTAACATTGGAAACTAATGAGACACTATATATATGTAATCTCTGTGAGTTAGCATTTACTATTTCTAGGGGAGATTTATTGATAGAAATAACAGCAGTTCCAGTTAGTGGAAAAGTAGAGTTATATATGTGGTAGATAACACACCGCTAACCCAGGCCAGTATGAGCCACTCGATGAGCGAGGGCAGGGAGCCGCGGCGCGACAGAGGCGCCGTGGGAGGCGCGCGCGGCGCGGCCCACAGCACCCCGCTCGCTGCCGTCTCGATCCGTTGCGACGCCAGGATCAGCAGGACTGTGGAAAGGACACGGTCTCACCTGTTGCTGCTTAAACACACAACGTTCGTTCATCTTCATAGTTCAGGGAACATTGCCATAAAGAAGTTCAAGTCAAGCTTTTGGTGTAAACTGAACCCATCCTTCACTCTCCTATCTGGGGAAGATGGGAGGGAGAAGGATGGCTTAGGTTTTCCTGCACGAGAAAGCCGAATAGGCTTCCGGAACTCTTCGGTTCGGTGGCTTTTTAGTAACGATGTTGCGATGATAAGACTTGCCTTCTATAATAGTAAATACTATAAGCGACATCACTAGGGTATTCTCAACTCACAAAGGAACATGAAGTAGCTGGCGGAGTGGCACAGAAACTTGATGAAGGGCTTGCGCAGCGTGCGGCCGAGGGCCGAGTATGGCGCAGCAATGTACGCCAGCGAGTAGAGCGGAAACATAGCGCCGATGCGCGTCATCTCCGCCGCCTGCAGCAGCATATTCTTACGCCGGAAGCCCGGCACGCTCTCGTACCAGATGGAGGCCAGAAGCTGCTGCACGTTGGGGTGCGCGACGAACTGACAGACAATGAGGGGCGTGAACGCGTGTTATTTCAAGGTTCGCGCGTCCCAAGCGGCTTGCAGAAGTTACCTTCTTCTGGCGCAGCTTGATGGCGAGCTTGAGGCGCGAGAGGCGCATGCGCTCGGGCGCGCCGGGCTCGGGCAGCGCTGCGGGCGGTGCTCCGGTCTCGTGGTTGAGCAGCACTTGCAGCTCATGCGAGGTGCGCGTGTGATCTAGCAGCGCGGTCGCGAACTCCTGGCACTGCACGCGCAGCTCCTGGTACTCAGTCTTGAACTCGTGCTCGAGTGCCGACAGCCGGCGCAGCTCCCACGACAGCTCAAATGCTGTCAGGATGGGGTCCTTGGAGGAGAGCGCGATGAGCGAGGGCGAGGCGAGCGCGCGGTAGGCGTTGATTCGCGAGCGCGAATGGCGCAGCGAATCCTCGCGGCGCGAGCGCACGCACTCGTCGCAGCCGCAACGAACGTCGTGGGGCACGGGCAGCGCGGCGCCGCGGTCCAGCAGCAGCTTGATTATCTCGTAGCTGTCGCGATGCGCCGCCAGGATGAGCGGCGTGATGTCCGACGTGAAGGTCGCCGTTTCGGGCGGCAGCGCTTCCCAGCTCTGCAAAGCGATAGCGCGCTCACCTCACCTCGCTCACCTCTACTCTCCATTCCATCGCTCTTGCTCACTATTCTACCAACCTTTATCTTTTGCCTCTATTCTTACTTTTGCTTTCGCAAGATAATCTATGGTATGGTATGGTAAATGTATCTCAACTGACATGATTTCACTCACCTTTATATTCCATATTTAATAATTAAATAATCCTCCATAAAATTAATAAACCCTGAAGAACGGACTAATGTACATTAATTTGACATTTTTCTTGATGTTGAATAATTAAGTGGTTAAAAAACATACATTTTTTCATCACATATGCATTGTAACCCACATGGAGCATTACAAGACGTTGCAAGTGGAAACTTAGTACGGGGCCCTGTAAACTTTATGGCGGCTTGGAATTTCGCACGCGAGGCTGGTAAGAGTACAAGCAGCGGCCCGGCAGGCACCCGCCTACACACACGTGTTTTTGCAGCTAACTTCGAGCCGACATAAAGTTTATCGGTCATCTTGTTGTGGGAAATAGGAAGGAGAAAAGAAATAGCGAGGCATCGAGTGGTTATGAAAGCTGAGCTCACGTGAAGCTCCCCGGGCTTGCGTGTGCGCTCCTCGTGGTCGAGCAGCGCCTCCACGGCCTCGACGAACTCCTCAGAGATGGCGTGCAGCAGCGCGTCTCGCGTCTCTACGCCGAACTCGAGCAGTAGCTCCACCATCTCGAGGTTCTCGTTGTCGATGGCCATGAGAAGCGCACTGCGGCCCAGCGGGTCCACGCAGTCGACGTTAATGTGGCCGGTGTCGCGCGCGCGTTGCAGCCCCCGCCGCGTGCCCGCCACATCGCCGCGCTCCACGCCCAGCAGGAACTTCTTCTCTTCTAGCGAGAGCACTGCCATCTCCTGGTGCGGCCGCACCACGTTCTCCTCCTCCGTCATGCCGTGGATGCTGTGGCGCTGTGGACAGAGCGTGCGGCACGTGCCGGCCTTAACCTCGTCCAGGAAGAGCGGCAACGGAAGGCCAAAAAAAAAGAAGGCCTTATAAATAAAAGTTAAAGTCATTGTTAAACCATCGGCCGGATCGTGATGCAAACTTCAAAACAGTAGCTGCGAATGGTTTCATGATGAACGGGCACGTTACGCGATCGGCAATGCTCTGTGTATACACAAAGCTCACAACAGAAGTATTGCCCTCGTATCGTTCTATTATTAACGACGCATTGCCCCGCGTGGCGTGCTCGCATACTTTGCATTACTAAGAGTTTGTTATAAAACTCTGTCAAATTTCGGTTCGAGACAAAGTGCGATAAATCTGAAGTAGGTCAGGCAAGGAGCGACGAGGCGTTATGCAAATGCGTCCCGCGGAACCCCACACCCCGCTTATAAAAGAACGCGAAGTTGTAAGACGTCGGGTGTCCGGTCATCTATAATTTAGACTTTTTGAAAAAAAGCGAGTAAAGACAGCTAATTGAAAAAGCGTAGAAGACGTGTAGAGTGAGCGTCCCGTGCGTACCTTGACCTTGTTGTCGAGCGGGCGCGGCTCCGGCGCCAGCAGCGCGCCCAGCTCCACGCGGCAGGTGGAGGCGCGCCGCTCGCCACCGCCCGACATGTCGGAGCCGCTGTCTGCGCACACAAAGCGGCCTGAGCGGCTCCCGCGCCGCACGCTAGCGCGCGAGCCGCTCGCCTTCGGCACTCACCGGCCTCGCCATCGCAGTCGCCGCGCCCCTCGCACCCCTCCCTCGCACGCTCCGAGAACTGAAACCAGAGAGAACGCCGTCACGCGCCCGCCCCCGCCGCCGCCGCCCGTCGCCGCCGCCCGCCTTTGCGTGCGCGCACACTATAAATACGAATCGGGCGGAGTTGGAGCGCCCTGCACTTGCGGTTGTGAGCGGCAGCGCCTGCGACGCGCTTCAAGTTCCGAACAAATCGCTAAATGTCATTAAATACATTGGACATTTATATCAGTAACGTAATAGTATTATAGTTTTTAAAATTTATACAAATAGAGTTGTCGATTATTTACTTTTTAATGTAAAATGTATTCCAGAAGTACGGGAGCGCAGCTCGCACAGTGGCTGCCTCGGATCACGGCTGGGTACATGCATGTTTTTGACCTAATGGCAAGAGTGTAATGTATTTTGCGGGTATTTTAGGACGCTTGTGTATGATTGTTTGAGTAAGTGTGTAATTATATATCGCTTTCATTGTCAACGCTTGTAATCCAAACGGCTGAACCGAGTCCGGTAAATGTCAAATAATTCGTAAGGCATTCAATGGAGATTTTTTAAAATGAAAAGCCTCTTATTTTTTTGTCTTGACAAGAATGATGGTGGATGATGTCAGAATGATGGGTGAGTGGCGTTGACCTGCACGCGGCGCGCGCGGCGCGCGGCCACCTGCCGCGAGTGCCGCCGCAGCGCCTCCAGCGCGCCGCCACCCGCGCCCCTCTCGCCGCACTTTTCGCCTCTCGCCTCCTGCAAACAGGATTATTATTTACGATTACGATTTTTAGAAGAACGGTACACAAAGTGACCGGGATTGCTATAATTTTAGAATATCAATAATCCCGGGTCAGGCTTAGGTCAGCTTAAGCTTCGCTGAATTTGATGGCCGTAGGATAATTAGGCTATTTAGTATTTAGTTGTTTATTTGTATCGATGTAAGTACAAGTCGTACATACAATACGCCCGACACACACATCAACCGTTTTCCAAGCTCGCATTTTGATATAAGTTTTGCGTTAGTGGAGGCGCGGCCGTATAATATTTTGCTGTCGGTGACCCATTGACCACAACAAGGAACATTTTGTTGTCCTTCGCATGCACAGAATACTCGTGCACTATACTTATGCGAAAGGCAGTAGGCAGTAGGCAGTAGTCAGTAGCAATAGGCAATGGCAGTATGTAATCTTACCTAATCGTTCAATCGCATGCGCTCTGCACCTTCAACATACTTTCAGTAAACACATCAACGTCTTCTTGATAATCCTTTGTAAAAAGTGATTGTTAAATTTTTTCTTTATCTTACTCTTGTCGTTTCAGTATTGTATATATTTGTTTTTGGTCCAATATTATTGCAAGTTAAAATTTCAACACAAGAAATATAATAAATTTTTAAGGAATATTTAACAATTTTGATTAATAATATAATTGTAACAAAATGGTCCGATGGCGGAAGCGGCAGAAGTCGTCGCCGCGTCGTCTCGTGTCGCGTGGGCCACAACACCTATTGTACTACAACACTATACATTTAACTGATATTGTGTTCCACAATCATATCAATTTGCAGGAATTAAAACATAAAATGGAAAAGTGAATCGACTAGTTAGACGAGTTATACCTACAGGACAAGTCGTGGGGGTGGGCAATGGGAAAGCTCTAACTAAAGTTTGCACGTCGACCGAAGAGCGGTGCGAGTCACCGAGTCACCGAACCAGCACGCGAGACGCGAGTCGACCGCGCGCCGCGTACTGGCCTCCGCGCGCCCGCCGCCTGCCGCCCGCCGCCCGCCGCCCGCGCGCTTCCGCCACCCGCCGCCCGCCGCCCGGCGCCCGCCCGCGCCGCTCCGCCCGCCCGCCCTAGAGCGGCTCGCCTGTACGGCGATCTTATCGATACTTGACTCTACTTTGCTGAGCATTGACACAATTTAATATAATATTAGTTTTTATCTCGAATAGATGTAGGTCTCGGCGCTGAATTCGCTACATTTACTCTGAAACGGCACACGCAGATTACGAATTTTTATTTGGTGGAATCTTGGCACATCCCTTCCCGCCTTTTCTACGACCTACTACAGATTGTATGAACCCCTTTACGTGGTCACGTATCGACGTCGTGGCAATCACTCTCTATATCCGTAGATCGTAGATTTAGACAAACTCTAACAAACAATATCTCTTCATTAAATCCTTTCAACATTCTCTCATAGTCCATTCATTTTCCTTAAATCACTGTTTTAACCTTATCCTTCGTTACATCACTATTTATAACCCAACCCGTCTTTCAGAGACACGACAACCAACCACAATTCTTAGTGGTAATCCCCTGCTCGCGACCTTGCTACTTACTAACAGCTACAATCATGACGACACGACACGTACTTAGTATTTCGATCCTAAATGTTCACAATCGACAAGCAGCAAAGGCGCGAGCAGAGCGCCCCGCTCCGCCCCGTACCGCGGCCCCCGCGCTCTCCACAGTATCAACTGGGTCGGTCTCGCACGCAAATTGCATTCCTTGAACGCATCATTAGCATTTAACAAAATACAATGCAGTGGGAGTGGGGCGCGTCCCCCCCCCCCCACTCCCCCACCGCGCCCCATTCTCCCGCGTGTTCCAAGCCCTGTGCCATGCTTTGCATGCTCATCTTTTTTCATAATATACATATTTCCTTGTCCACCGTCAAACTTGGATATGGATTACATCTGGAGCTTTGTGTTGGTCGCGGATTTCTTTGGAGCCCATATACTTATTTACTTATTTAATAATTTTGCCCGCGACTTCGTCCGCGCTTAAATTAAAAAAAAACTTAGTAAGTAGTCTATATGTTAATCTAGACCTGTGCGTTTCGACGAGATGTTGTTAGCCGATTTGGAGGTAGGTAGTAAAAAACATCCATCCATGCATGCACCCGTGTATGTACGCCATGCATTCACAAATGCCCTTTATAAATCTAACTCTAGCTCTAATCTTCCTTTAAAATTGGTTCCGACTTAAACCGGCCCATCCATTGTAAACTACACACACATTGTTGAGCTTGGTAATATTGTCATGTCGGGACGCGATGAGAGCACACTTATAAAAAAAATATTGTCATGGAATACGTCCCGTGCTCCTTTTTAAAAAGTGTTGTTGGAATATAAAATTAAACGAGCGAGTGCGATGTTAAGATGACGATAGATACCGTCCGCGTCCGCCGGCTGACGCATGTCGTCATGTCCACTCCACGTCAGGTCAGTCAGCGACGAGGCGAGGCGAGGCAAGGCGTGGCGCGTAATAAATTTCTAACGAAATAGTTAGTGTCTTGATGTCCGCCGCCGGCTCCCGCTGTTATTATTGCCTCAATTTGCTCGCTCGCCCTCGCGCTAATGGCACTGGGCACTGGAGGTGGTATTCACTCCGACAAAACTACACTCTGCTTGTGTCGTTTTCATGGCATGGCTGGCGACGTGAAGTCTACGAGCGAGTATTACGCCCTACGTGCACTGGTCTCCTCCTCGCTTTCTTGACCACAGCGCGGCGCAACTACACTGTTACAGTGCGATTGAGGAAGTTTCCATTTGTATGTATCGAAACACTGGAATGTTTTGATTTTTTTTCTGTCGATTCCTACATTAATTGGACAAATGTTCCTATCGCCTTGGTAGTTAACGGTTAGGTTTGGGGTACGCTGTAAATCAATAGTTTTCCTGTCGGTGAGGCCGCAGGAGCGCGGGGAGCGGCTGCGGCGACGCGGGGCCAGAGGTACCACGTGCGACGTGTGCTCGCTTACGTGCTTCACGGCCATCCCTTAGGGATCGATAGGTTCCGAAAACCGTATTTATGGTTGTGGAAGAGACAAACTTTACGCAACTACAAGTCACAAGGATTTTATTATTAGACGGAAATGTAGAAGAAAATGTTAACTAAAAAAAAATGATACCATAAAAGATATCTGAGAGTATGTTGTTTCTAGACCGAGTTACGACGTTTCGCTTTTCTGTACATAAAAATAACATGAATAAAGCGGAATGTGTAATGTTGTCGGGACTCATAATGTCTCGTTGTAAAAGTGTGGCAATAGTTAACAATAGTTTTACATCGCAGACCCCATGTTCGACAAGGAACTGTGACAGGATGGTTACATTGAGAGGAAGCAAGACAGCCACGTGCGGCGGACCGGTGTCCGGGTTGTGGCGTGGTAGCATTGGCAGGTGGTGGTGGCAGGTGGCAGGCGCCGTCGCCCGGTGACCCACATCGCCGATCTAATCGTATCACGTGAAAAATATCGCGTGCGGCGGCCGTTCACCCCGCGGGCTATCAACCCCGCCCGCCCTGTCCCGCCCCAGAGCGAACCACCTTTTTCAATCTTCGGTTGGTGTAATTTTGTCAGTATCCGTACATAAGTACCGGCGCATACCTACTCGTACAACGGTGAGCTTTAATAGGCGAAAGGACACAGACAACTCTGTTTCCGAAGTCTGTTTAGAAGTTATACGTTGTGTACGTGGCACAGGACCTCGCTTGTTAAATGATCACATATAATATAAATATATGCGAGAGACGTGGAGGGAGAAGAGGGGGTGGGGTGGGGGGAGAATGACACCGCTTCGGCTGGCGTACTTCAAAATCGTATCACTTTCTTAATTAGATTAACTCCTACGGGCCCTTTGAGACCGTCTGCGCGGTGAACATACTTAATATATGTAGATACCCACAGAATTTTAGGTGGAAATTTAGGTAATCTCGAGCATTCCGTTGTTAAGGTAAAATAATACGACGTCGCGAACTAGCAGAGTTCTGAATGCACTGCGAGGCCGACGCGACGCGACGGGCGTTACCTTAGTCATGAAGTGCGTCAAACGCTCGCTCAGTAAACACCAAATACAAATAAATTGTTTGGTCAAACTTTGTCAATATACGTGATATTGCCAAAGTTAACGGCGGCGAGCGCGCTGTACCTCACAATACGCTTCTTAGTAGCGAAATAAGTTGTATGAAACGACAAAGTTATCTGGCCTGGTATATAACATGTCAGATTATTTACTTTAGCTCACTAGCCCATCCTGTCATTTTCAAATGACAATGTAGATTTGTTTATATCGCAATAGAAGGACCTCTCTTACCGGCCTAGATAAGTTTGTCGCACTATACCAACAATACGCTACGTCGCGACCGACGTAGCAATCAATGGCCGCTGATGTCTGATGATGAGTACGCTACGACGCAACGTAGCAATGAGTGCAAATGTTCTCCTGAAAAATAAAAACAAAGATGATATTTATGTCGTTATACTGGCTACAGGTTTAAATAACTTCACGTTAAAACAACAAAACACGTTATTGGTTATTATTGCAGGCGAAAGCGAAGCGACGCAGCGCGCGAAAGCGCTGGTGAAATTTGATTTTGATGCTGTCTACTATACATATGCGATGCATAACATAAGTGCCTTTATGTTTATATTATTAATTGTAATTATAATTATCATAATGATATTGTTGATAACAAACACAACTACTTGAATACACTAAGTACGCTTTAGAGGAGCACTAGTCGCGGTGCCGTACATGTACATACATATGTCGGGGATGACGGCTCAACGTGAACCTTTTAAACGGCTCTATAGACATCACCAACTCTCGGACTGACGCAGCGCGATTCGGCCAAACGTACATATTACAATTTGCGCAACTAAACTTGTCTAAACTTTACGACAATTTTATGGTCGTTGTAAACGCTTCACTTTGCATTTCGTCGGCGCACGTTCTTTGCCGGGGTAATGTTTCATGCACTAATTACTTACAAGTTGTTTTTAATTTCTAAGCATTATGTGGGACAAAGATCTCCCTCTCGTAACGGATGCATTTCTACAAGTCTTGTTATAGTAAAGCGCTAATAGCTTAATACTTGAGGATCTAGCGGTCGACAGTTTAAATCCCGCCATTCGACTATTTTGTGAAAACATATCCTAGCACAAACTTCGACTTCAATTTACATGGAATTGTTAAAATACATAAAGATAACTTACAAAATGTACTCTTTATGGTATAACATAACTATTATACAAAATTGTAATGTTTCCCGATACAGCGGTATCATTTTATAACGAGGATAGCGACAAAAGAAATTTCCTATCTTTTAAGTAAAATTTAAACATTTGGTTGGCATCAGCTGCAGGTGCTGCAGCCGACTCATCATTGATCAGTACATCACCGGCAATGTCAAGTTGTCTGTGCGAGTGAGCGGGCGGCGGCGGGCGGCGACGGGCGGCGGCGGGCGGCCGGGACGGGCGGCAAATGAGTCAGCGCATTCGGGCCATGTGGCCGGCGGCACTTCCTTGTTTACTTACATTCATCTGTTCTCCGACGCTCCATGACTACCAATAAATACTCACCTAAATGAAATCACTCTGCAGGTTGATAAAAGATGGCAGCTTATGTATCTCGCTTTTAGAATGTATTCAATTTGTACTCATAATATATTTACATCAAAATGCAGAATGAGTGTCGACAAATTTTAATTTTTTTTGCAAAAAATCTTGTTACTCTATTTTATATACATACTTTATAAGAGAAGAGTTGGGGGGGGG